GTGCTTCTCCATCTCACTTGTACCTGTCACTCGGTCAGTATCTGCTATAGTCAGCAGTGTCTGGGAAAGAGGACAAGACCGAGAAATTCAAGCCACGCGTTCTAATCTCACCATGCCACCTAGCAACTATTGATCTTATTCCTTAGTTTACCCATCTGTCTACAGATAAAAGCTCACATACACGATCCCCGAGTACCCTCCTGGCTCCAACACTCTGAAACTTCAGAATGTTCTTCCCAAACAGAAAATGCTTTTTAAAATTCTCTCCCATTTCTATGTCTTATCTTTGTATTCTTGGATCTTAATACTTAGTGTCTGGGGGAGGGGGCTGATAAGTGCTGATTTGCTGAGTCAACCCTACCACTGATGTGCACTATGAGCATCATCAGTATCTCATTGTTGACGTGCAAAACCGGACGAAGTGGGTCCTCCATAATTGCAGACAGCAGGAGGCGGCAGAATAACCTGGGAAGGGTGATTCCCAGGCAGAGCCAGTTGTAGAAGCACACTATACTTTCCCGGGCCTGCAGATCATGAGAAAAATCTTGGCTCAGAGGCTGGAGGCCTGGGAAGGTCGTGGAGTTGGATGCGTGGGTAGCTCCAGAGGAAGACAGCAACACCATCTTTACCTCCAACCCTCGTGTCTTCGGTAATGTCGCTAGATCCATAAAATCACGACTGACTGGACTTCCCGTGGAATAGAACATGGCAAAGGTGTACCCTGAACTGTAACATCACTAATATGCCACAACCCACAATGAGCAGGCGTGGTCGTGAGAAAGCGGGTTTGGGAACACAGAAATCCTGGGACGCGACGGCTGACCGAGGATTTGAACTGCAGTCACCCAGACCTGGAAGAAACAGAGCCCCAGCTGGCATCCGGTTTATACATCTATTTCCCTGTCAGAAACCCAGGTCGCAACACCATCACCAGTCTGCTGTAAAATAAACGTGATGAGTGAAAAAGAGTGAATGTTTCAGAACCGTCTAGAAGTGGCAGGATGTTATTCTGAAGCCAGCATTCAAGTCTTCCCTCGAATAAGGCAGGCTGCCTAGTGACACAGCGGGTGAGACCATCCACCAACAAAGACTGCCTGAATATGACGAGAGGGCTGCATTTGCTTTTACACACTCCCAGAAGTACAAACTGCCATGACACATTTATCATCTCTGGACCTCTGCTTTTTAAAAATTTTACCACAGCAGTGACGTAAATCAAATCTGTCAATAAGAGGAAACTAAAAAGAAAAAAGAGGAAACTGAAAAGAACCACTGAGTCCAGCCAGCATTACTGTCAGCAGCAGGGAGACTCAAGTGAAAGCTGCCCACCATCTGAGTACTGGGCAGATTTTAACCTGCTCAAGGTCTCCTGCAGGGAGATCCCACGCTCTGGGTTGGACTTGTCTCGCCTCCTCAGCCTTCAACCACTCTTTCCTTGGGAACCACTGACCATAACTCTAAGGTTATTCACCTCATCAGTAGAATCATCGCCTAAATGAAAGCCACCAGGTCCAACGAATCATGTAGGAGGCTGGGAGGTGACGAGGCAGAAAGCTAGAGAAATGCAGCTTTGGGAGAGCGGCTTCAGAAGGCACCTTTCCCCCCATGTTAAAATCTGTCTTCTTGCACATAAAAGCAGCATGCCTACTGTAAACAAACACTACAGAAGAGATATTCTGGGGGCTTTCCCTCTTCCAACAAGGGCAGTAGTCCTCCGAATTAGGCCTCACCCTTTGGCTTCACCCAAGCTTAAGTAGCTTCTAAAATGCCTTCTCTCCATGGACGACAGTCTCGTGGGGTCAGGCTTTCAGGAATAAGCTGGTGGGGGGCACCCCATAAAACGTAACATTTTCCCATAAAAGTCCAGAAGGTCACCCTTGGTCTGTGTGACCATTTCAACAGTGCCATGAAACCGTCACTCCTCAGTACCCACAGGGAAGGGTTCTAGCACCTCAAGGGTGCCAAAATCTCCAAATGCCCAAGTACCCCATGATGGCATGATATTTACATAGGACCCATGCACAGCCCCACATGATCTAAATCATTCCTGGATAACCCGAGATGCCTAGCAAAATGTGAGTACTACAGAAAGAGTTGCTACACTACATTGTTTAGGGAATTCGAAGCAAGTCAGCACAGGTTCAGTACAGACATAAGGGGTTTTTAAAAAATATTTTTGATCTGCCGTTAGTTGATTCCAAGGACGAGGGCTGTGTAGATGCAGAGGCTGGCTGTGTACACCTGTACAGATGGGCTATCATTTAAACAATTGCACATTTATGTTATTTTCTCAACTGCAAATGCTGGAATTAAAACACACGTATATTGACATCCATGCATATTTGCGTGCTTTCCCAGGAACCTACTTAGGATCAACTCTAGGTAAAGGGGCTAGGGATGTAGCTCAGTGGTAGATTACTTGGGTGGCTTCCAAGAGGCACGGGGTTCAATCTCCAGCATCAGGGGGGGAAAATCCAGGTAAGCAATCACCTTACTCCTTGTGGTGTAGAAGACCGGAACATAAAAAAATGTTGCTATTCTGAGTATTGTTATAACTGAGTCCTAACCCAGGCATCCATGAAACTGCAACAGCCTCGGCTCTGCCAGTTAGAGTAAAACTTCAGGTGTTTTCCAGCCTCGATACAGATTTCCAGCCATAATTTATGACAGTACCCGTGATCCTCTGCAGCAGGGGTGTTTATCGACCTCTTTGCACATTAGGCTCAGAGTTTTTTTAAACAAGAAAATCTCATGTTTGTAATTTTTTGTATGTTTATTGTCCACTTCTATTGCTTCTTTTGTAAACATCCATTTTTTTCTATTATGTCATGGTTTGGGTTTTTTAGTATGAAATTGAAAGTCCTTAGAAATATTGGCTCAAGAAAAGAGGAAATTAGACACAGCTGAAGTTTGTTGAACTACATATAACTGTTGATAAAAAGCAGCACAGAAAGACACACCTGTGAGAGGAGAGGACAGGACAAGAAGGCTCTGAAGGCTGCAGTGAGATCTAACAGGTTCAGGAATCAGGAGGGAGAATGGCACCGAGACAGTATTTAAGGGCCCAATGGCTGGGTATGGTGAACTGACCAAGACCCCAGGAAGCCACTGGGCCACAGCTGGAGGAGTACACACCCAGACCCAGGCCTGGCAGACCGGGTGCCCAGCTCCGTGAGCGGGGACAACAGGCTGCCCCAGAGCGCAGTTTCTCTGTCCCTTTCTTTAAGTATGTTTTTGTAGCTGCGTGTTTTATTTTGGCTAAAGTCACATCTCAAAATCTTCTGGGGATGCGCCTGTTGGTCGTGGCTGCTTGTCGAGAATGAGTGAAGACAGGCTCCTGTTGTGCCGAAATGCACGTGGGCCACACACTGCCACACACGCCAAACCTCCTCAGTTATAGACGGCCAGGGCCGGGCACTCAGCCCTGGGTCATGACCCTGCCGCCCTGGGCCCGCCTGCTACACAGCAACCCTCATCCCTGCAGCCACACCCTGTTCCAGAAGGCTGCAAACCATTGCTGGGGTCCATCCGGCCAAGGGGCGACCCCCAAGCCAAACACGCTGGTAACATTCTCCCCACACATGCGCAGCTCGCAGGCCCCAAGCCACTTTTATGCTTTTTTTGCGAAGTGCTCCAGTTCCACTCCCCACCCTGGACGACACTAGGGCTTGAGACCGTATTGAGTAGACCACTTAAGGGGAACTGAAGTCTAAACTCAGCACATTGGAGATACATTGCTTTCCAAGAATCCTTCCACATTGCTCACATTTTGCAGTCTTCTTACTATTCCACACCTTTCTTGTTAAATTTCATCTTTTATTTTTAGTTGCTTGCTGATTCTAACTAGTTATGATTAGATGTAAAAGCTATTTGTGTATATCACATAAATACATAAACAGCCATTTAACCAAACCGTCATTGGTCCTAAGTTTTCCTGTTGATTACTTGCAAATAATACTCATATATCTTTAATCTTTTTTGGTAGGACTTGGGAACTGAATCTAAGACCTTCTCACTGAGCTATATTCCCAGCCCTTTATTTATTCACTTTTTAAAAATTTTTCAGATGAGTTTTCACTAAGTCCCTAAATTGCCCAGCTGAGGCTTGAACTTGTGAATCTCCTGCCTCAGGCTCCCAGCTCTTTACTCTTTTATTTTGCTGTGTGTAGGGTAACTAGATCAAATAGAAAAATAAAAATTATTTTTCACCTACACAGATATATATATATTTTTAATTGGTTCCAGGGATTGAACTCCAGTCCTTGCACTTGAGAGGCAGGCGGCAGCACCACTGAGCTAAATCCCTGACCCTACACAGATATCTTTTTAGTTTGAGAGCTTTACAATACAGTATCTAGACATATTGGTGTTTAAAAGTCTTTTGTTTATCTGCAATTCAAAATTAACTAGATGTCTTATATTTTTATTTGCTAAATTTGTCAGATCCTGTTGCATTTCTAGCACTGAAAGAATCATGTCAAATAATGATGACCCTAGGAATGCTATGCTGTTTGATTCCCCTAGGAAAGTCTCTACAATGTTAAGGGTTTTAGTGGCTGCTGATTTTAGTTATCATAAATTCAGCAAGGCCAGGGGTCCTTCGCAAATTTGTAGCTCAATCCTCACACAGTGCCTCACATAGAGTACGTCTTCCACAGATAGTGGCTGAACTGATGGCTGTACCTCACTGTTCGCAAAGTTTGGGAAAGACAAAGGTATACTTCTTGACAGGTAATATCCTGAAAACCAATGAGGAATGCTTAACTCAAGCGCAAGTGAGACAATAATGCACACTCAGAGGTGAAGTGACCTATAACAAGCTAATAACAATTAGGAGTTCAGGTTCAGCTGGACATGCTGGGGCAGGCACACCTGTACTGAGCTACACCGAGGAGAATGACAGGGATTGCCAGGCAACAAAGTAGGAGCCCAGTGTTAAAAAGCAACAACAAAGAAAAAGCCTGCAGGTTCCAAACCATACTGCATAGTTCACCTCTCACCTCTATATTTTGCCAACTTCCTGCTTCTGGATGAGCCTCCTCCGAGTTTTGGTTTGCAAACACAAAACACTGGTAGTGCCTGCCCCTGGAAATTATTATGAAAATTGAAAAAATTCATAGTAAATAATTAGCACAGTGCCTGGGATGCAGCATTTTAGCCAATGATATCAATTAGAAGATGTTATCATAGTTACTATTTATCGAATGTTCAGTAAGAGCTTAGCACTGTTCAGGTATTTTTATATTTTAAATAATAAGGGCCAGGGATTTAGCTCAGTGGTTTCGCCGCCTGCTGCACAAGTGCAAGGACCCGAGTTCGATCCCTGGTACCAAAAAAAAAAAAAAATTAAATAATAAAAATAACATTCACTTTTGTTTTCTCTTCTTCAGAAAATGAAAATCAAGAAACCAGTTCAAGCTGGATGAGGTGGTGCATGTCTATAATCCAGCACTCTGGGAGGCCGAGGCAGGAGGATCATAAGTTTGAGCTGAGCCTGGGTAATTTATCGACCTAGTCAGGACTTGTCTCAAAGTAAAAAATAAAAAAGGGTGGGGATGTAGCACAGAGTGATGACCTTGGGTTCAATCACTCATGCTACATACACAGAAAATATTTTTTAAATATTCAGCTTTTTCAGAAGTCTTTACAACAGATAAGCCAGTGATTCTCAAATTTCAGCCGGGACGTGGCCACTTGAGTATCACTGAGTGTACTGACTTTATTGCTAAGGCAACAAATTACTACAAATTTTATGCCTCAAAATAGCGCATGTTGATTACCTTATACTCTCTATAGGTCAGAGGTCACAAGGCCGAAGTCAGGTTCCCAGCCGGGCTGCTGTCTTTCTGGAAACTCAGTGGACCCCTCTGAGTCCCTGCTCATCCAGGTTTGCAGAATTCAGCTCCCGTCCGACCAAGAGCCCCGTGTCTGGGAGATGGTGCGGACCATTCTCCGAGCCCAGAGGCCAAGTGCTGCCCTCGGCCTGCAGAGCTACTGAGGGCAGAGCGAATTTCTTCTTCCCCCGCCTCTCCCGCTTCTCAGGGTTCACGTGGCTGTGCTGGGCCCGAGCGTCAGGCCCAGCTCCCTATTTTATGGTCAGCTGATTGGCGACCTTGATGCCACCTGCCGCGAACTTCTTCTCAGTGCCTTGATTGGTGGCTGAAGAGCCAGGGGCTGGGCTGCCAGGTGCGACATCCTAACATCCGCTGGCCTCACCCAGGGACCTGGAGGGATCAGATTCTCTCCCTCCCAGGTTACTGAGCCAGGAGCCGGGAGAAAGGGCCAGCAGTCCAAGTCGCACTGCCCTGTGGTGGACTCCAGTCATGGAATTGGAGGACACTGAGATGGCGGGAGGGTTACGGCAGGCACAGGGCTTGACTTCAGGAGTTAAAGATAAGCCAAAGGTGCCGTCAAAGTAGAGTGAATCTCTGCCGGGAGCTCACCTCCATACACGCTTTCCCACCACATCTACACTCATCCCATGGTATTAATTATTTCTGCTCTTGGTTTTACTCAGGGATGATGGATTTCAGCTGGATTTTCAGTTGACTCCAGTGAAAAATTTTATAACCCCGGGCAACAGCTTTTTCCATGTGTGCCTTCTGGAAAGCGTCAAGTCTGAGGAAAAGGCCTCACTCTGGAGGCAGACGTGTAATTCTGAGCACACGGGAGACCCATCCCGGCTGGACTCCCGCAGGCCTGGAAAGTTGGGGGTCAGAGGAGAACGTCTGATTGGCCCCCATGTGGTCTTCATTTCGCAATTTGAAAGAGACAGGGTGAGGGGCAAGAGGAGGAGGTCAAGGGCACAGCGCCCAGACAGAGCAGGTCTTCACAGCCCACTTCCAACTGGGCGAGCACGGGAACCAACATGCGGTTTGCAAATGGGCGCCAGAGGCATGACTTCCTCCGTAGAATATTCTAAGCCAATCCTTTTATCCGCCATAGCGATATTAAATGCTGTGAAGACATTTAAATATGAGTGAAGAATAAAGAGGCAGAAAACCTCCTTGCAGATGCAATGGCAGAAGACTGGCCAGGCCACTCTGGCCCACAAGATGCCATTTACCTGGGTTGCATGAACCAGCGGTCCCTGTTGGCTTTCAATTTGGGGGCTGTGCAATCACAGACATATGGTAGATTTGACATAGGAATCATATGAGTTTTTTGTTATGTCTTGTTTAGACAGGATCTCACTATGTTGTTCAGGCTGGCTTTGAACTCGCTGTGAGATCCTCCTGCCTCAGCCTCCCAAGTGCTGGAATCACAGGCATGCACCACTTTGCCTAGCTTAAGGCTTTTTTTAAAAAAAAAACAACAAAACTTCATCTTATTGAAAAATTTGACCAAAATTTCAGTGGGCTACGGACACAGGATCAATTCCATGATCATACTATATCTCCCTTCATGCGGTCCAAATTCTGTGTCAAATTCAGAAACTACCACAATGCTAGCTCCTTAGTCCACACGTTTACTTGAACTAGTCAATCATCATGTTTTGTTCAGTTGGATTTTTATGGAATTTGTACCAAGGGTTGGCTAGAGCCTACAAATTGCTTATTCCTGTGGTGAAGGAGCCCCCTACCCCTGTGTTTCTAAAACCCATCCCCACTAAGGCAATCCCACTGCTCCACTTGCCCCTGGAGGGGGAGACTAGTTCGAAAGAATACCAAACGGCCTTTCTTGCTAATCTTTTCCTTTCTCTTGTGAGTTTCTGAAGCCCAAACACTTACAATTCTCTTTTCAGCTATAAAAAATAAAAATAAAAAGAAGGAAAAAAAAGAGATGGGAAGGACAGAGGAGGAGCTCCCTGGCCTGGACTCCAACTTGTTGCTGCCCTCTCCTCAGGCCTCTGCCCGGGGCCTTGGTGCTAATGTGATGAGGCAGGAAATGGAGACTGCAGCTCACCAAGATCCTTTTGGGGCAGCAGTGAGCTCCCAGGAGATGAGTCCTGGTCCTCAGCAGAAGCGGGGAGGAGAAAACAGAGTGGAGCCGAGGCCCAGCAGTGGCCACCTCCAGGCTCAATTGCTGGCTTTCAGCTTCACACAGTCAGCCAGACCTGCCAGGCCCCTGCTGTTGGGACAATGAGCAGCTCATTAAAGACAAGACGGCTTTCCCGCCCCGCCAACATGATTCGCTGCCCAACGCCGGCTGTCAACACCCAGCCCTGTCCCGGTGGGGACTGTCCCCAGGGTCCCCAGCCTGTCCAGGTGCCCAGCAGTGTGGGCCGGTGGGGTATGTGTTAGATCCAGTGTCCCACAGAGCCACACTTCCACTGCCTGACAACAGAAGACAGCAGCAAAGAACAGGGGCGCGGAGGACGGAGGTGCCACGAACACACCAGGAGGGCAGGGCAGCAGGCTCGGACGGGAAGCTGTGTGACAGAGCGGAGTGGAAAGAGGTCCTGCCTCCGTGGCCGCTCCTGGTGAGGACAAGCTCATCCCCCGCCAGGCTCCCAGGGAAGGGACCTCCAGCTCCCTAGCTCCATCTGGAATGGCGACATGTCTTTGTCAAGCCAGAGACCCCTGTCTTCAAGGCTGAGCAAGCCCAGCGCCATGGGGCGGGGAAGCAGTTCCGGTCCATCCCTGCAGGTCCCCAGCTTCCTGGCGACTCTTTCTCTTTTGGAAGTAAGCCAGTTAGGAAAACTGAAGAAACAAATCTCAAACCAGTCTTCCGCACCGTGTGCTACACACAGGACCCTACTGAATTACTAAACGCACGAGTCCTGAAAGGATCCAGCTAACTCGGGCAGTGTAAATGTTCACTGCCACTTCGGGCAGTGACAGAGCCACAGGGTTAAAGCCCAGGGCCACGGGAGGGCAGGGAGGGCACACCGAAGCACGCTCACCTCTCCATGGAAGGAGCCTCGCCTACAGCACTGCGTCCGATGTAAGTGGACAGGAGGGAAGATCGTATACTGAGCTGTATGCAAGATTGTCGTGCCCCGTGTTACATGCTTAACCTGCAGAGATGAGTCAGACAGGCTGCAGTTATCAACCTGGACCCCCGCAAGACGGAGTGAGGGGAGGATGGGCCTAAGCATCAGAATGCGATGAAGCTGACACCTCACCTGACACATGACCAGGGGCAGGAGAGGAAGCAAAGGGACGACTTTCTTCAGCACTTTATTCAGTGCTGTTGAGCACCTCTGAAGGGCTGTGCGAGGTTCTGCGGGGAAATAAGCTGGGTATTCAGTCATTCGCTGGTAATTCCAGCTACGCAGGAGGCTGAGGCAGGAGGATGGCAACTCAGCAAGAATGTCTCGAATTTTTGAAAAACTGAATAAAAGAAGTAAGCAAGACAGATTGTCCCAGCACTCAGGATGTCCATGGCCGGAGGAGGCCAGGCAGAGAGGGAGAAGCTGAGAGGGACACCGTGTGCCATTTCTGGAGCCGCGTCAGGGACTGGAGTGGAAGGAGCGGAAAGACAAGAGGCCCAAGTTGGGCAGCGGGCGTGCTCAGGAGAGGCGCAGGCTCCCTTCCCCTGCACCCCGAAGGCTGTGTGGACGAGGACGCAGCCAAGCCGGTCTCGTACAGCGTGGGTAATGGTCGGGCGAGACTGGGCCAGGGAGACCAAGCGGGGTTCCGGCAGGGCCCGGGAGAGAGAAACGCGGGCCTGAACCGGGTGGGGCCGAGGACGGAGAGGCGGACCCGGGGCTCTGCCCTTGCAGGCCCTCGGTGAACGGAAGCCCTGCCTCCTCAGAACAGGCTCGACCCTTGCAGTTCAAGGGCTTCTCGCTTTGCTTTGCAGTAAGTATCTTTCCTTTCCCTCTCTCCCTTTTCCCTCCAGCAGTGTCACACTCCCTGCGGCCTCGGAGCCTGGAGTGCCGTCCCAACGCCGAGGCAGGTGATGGGTGACCAAGGTGCAGAATGCGACACTCAGGGCATCCGGAGGGGTCTTAGGCGCCTTCCCCTCCCACCTTAGCCGGGGGTCGTGTGGATCGTGTTTCATAAGAAACAGCGATGTGTTTGTCCTCCACATGCTAGGACAGGCGCGGGTGGGGAAGCAGCGCACATCTGTGACACACAGGAGCTCATTTCCCCAGGAGCACCCTGCTCCGGGCTTTGCCCGAGGAGATTTTGAAATCAGGCTCATAAAGCAGTTAGTGTTGTGTCTCAAATACAGGAAGCGTTCAAAAATGTCAGCACACAGGGTCACTTAACTCCATGCAGGTATCCCATTAACTGGCTTTTCATCTAATAGTAATGAGTCTTCCGCTTCAGGCCAAAAATCTTCTAAATAGAATTCCACAATACATACAAATATATGAAAATATGCGCAGGTATCAGAATGCATATGCCGTAGACCACCTATGTGAGGCTTGACGAAGCCCAGCACCACGGGGAAATACGAAGAGCGAGGCGAAGTCCTGCTCACCTAACATTCTTAGCCCCGGGAAGAAATTCATAAACAATTTTATCCCCAGAAAGTTACACATTTCCTTGTATTTTCTGAAAAGCAATGACAAATTCTCAAGTGTTTCAGGAAAGGTATTCGTGCGTAATCTTCAGGATATCCCGGTTTCTTCTGCCTGTCATTTCTGGAGTCTTTTGCTGGCAATAACATTTCTCAGCTGAGCACGGGGCCCAGTGGTCTCTCTGCTGCCAAGAGGAGTTTCGGTTTGTACCGGGACACACACCGACTTCCAGAGTGAGCTTTTGTCTTTTTTTTTTAACCTTTTAAGAGTCGACGTGTCTATAAAATGTCACCTGGTGTCACCGCGATTCATGAAACTGGAAGTTTTGTACCTTTGGTATAAAAACAACTGTTGTCACCCACAATGACAAAATGCGACGGGGGCTGCCACAGGAAGGGCTGCTTCCCCACGGTACGAGCATCCGTGAAGTGTGGCCCACATCACACGGGAGGAAAGGTCAGTTCGAAACTTCTCCTGGACAGACAAAGCTGCGGAGGGGCGGAAGGCCTGGGGGTGCAGATCAACACGGTCAAGGCCTCGCTCCTGAAAACAGGGTCTTCACCCCGGCCACAGCGGTGGGCTTGGAGCTCGTGAGAGACAGAACCTCAGGCCCGCCCAGGATCCACTGGGTCGGAGCCA